CAAATAAATATGCCATAGTTGCATATAATAACATAGAACAAATTAAACCGGACAAATGTCCCCAAGACTCATCCGAGTTAAAACCGAGTCAAAAGTTCAACAACTCGATTGACTATATAATAAAAGTAATCAAAAGCAATAAAACATATTTAACCGACGTTTATGCAATTACATGCTCCAAAGACCCATTAATAACTCAAAATGCATCATTGGTTAAGAAAAAATATTTTCCAATTAAAACCATACCCTTTATATTTTCAAGGTCACATAACACAACTATACGCATTTTCTAAACCAGATACACTAAAAATGCATTTATCAATACTTTCCATTTATGAAATAAATCATCAAAAAGACTTCACACTTATGATTTAGTTATCAAAATGTCTAAAACCCCAAATACATACATTTATCAAGATTTATATACCCATTGTACAAAAATACAAATCTCATCAAATAATAACCACATTTTATAAACATCAAAATAGACATTTTTGACACGTACATAGTTTTAGCAAAACAACGCCTTGCTATGTTAGGTTAAACATAGGTTCCAAATCCATCTGTAGCTTCCACAATGATGATGACTTTAGATCCGGAACACCTGTATCTAGGAACTTTATCTAAATCTCAATTAAGCCTAAAGATGTACCAAAAGTAACCCCAAAATCAAATCCATACAATTCTTAGCCAAAATATCAAATCACCCGGAACACCCAAAATGATCAAAAACTCAATATAATGGAGATACACCAAAAGGGATGTTCTAGGAAGTTAAAATGAAAGCTTTTAACAAGAATAAGGGTTAGAAATGTTAGGATGACTTACAAATCGTTTTTAGGAAGAACCCAAAAACTAGGTAAAGAATGGTGGAAATGGAGATAAAGTAGATGAACTCAGATCTTGGATCTAAACTTGAAATCTTGATGTTTAGGAGCTCTTAAATGCTTGGAAAAAGGTAAATAAAAGCACTAGAAAGTCCCCAAATCGAGTTTGAATGAGGAAGCTATGAACTCCAATGGAGAAGATGAGATGGTGAAAGGCTTTCAGTATAATTCGTGCACTCTAGGAGAAATCAATGTTTATAACTGACAGTGGAGCTTCCAAGATCGTGCCTTAGGATATTCTTGACCGAAGTGAAAGAGAGTGGGAGAAAGTAGATTGAATAAAATGAGGAAGAAAAAGGCCAAAAATCGGTTTTATACAGCAAAAATCGTACAACTCGAATTCTACCAGTGTAGTCTTGACCGAAGTGAAAGAGAGTGGGAGAAAGTAGATATAATAAAATGAGGAAGAAAAGGGCCAAAAGTCGATTTCACACAGCAAAGCCGATACAACTCGAATCTGCTAGTGTTTCACGTCTGGGGTCGATTCACGCTCGGGGAACGACTCAGGTGCCCATACCCGATTTTCTGTTGTCGTTTCACACGCAGGGGGGGTTCATGCCCGAGGAGTGTTTTGAAACCAAATGGCTTCCTTCACTCCTAAATTCATATTCAAACATCCACACACTTCCTAAAACTTAATTATCAACATTCTTAGGATAAAAGAAGTATAAATAAGAAAACTTCATAATTTTTACTTACCTTAATTTTTCGGGTGTTATATGAAATCAAGCCAATAAAACTCCATACTTACTTGACTATAAAATAAAAGTCGACGTAAACCAATAAGTGGAAAATACTCATTGCTTAAACAACTTATAAGCCAAAAGGTTTGAAACCATCATTACAACTCAAAAGTCAAATAATATCCCAAAAACGAGTATTTATCCCAAATTCAAGTCGATAAACTCTTCCACTTGGTTGACTAGTCCTAGAATGAGTCATTATAAATTGCATAATGCATTCGAAGTGTTTAATAAATCTCATAACTCAAAATAACACAAATCCAACAAACTCAAATCATATATAATTTCAAATGATTCATAAACTCAATATATCAATAATACATTAACATCAATAATCTCTATATGCACAACAAATCATCAAAATCCACATATTTGATGATTTGATATTAAAATGTCCAAAACCCTAAAATATAAGTATTTATCAAGATTTTTATAAAATCAAATGTACCAAGGCCTAGATTTCACCAAACAACGCCGCATTTGATAAATCTTAAGGGAAACACTTAAAACTTCAAAATATATATTTTTGACATGTAAAAAGTTTTCACAAATGAACTTGAACTTACCTTGCTAGAGTTTTGCTAAATCTAAGTTTTACCCCAGATCTTGAGCTTCATTTCGTGAAGACTTGAAATTCACAAGCTAGCCTTTAGATCTAAGCAACAAAGCTCTCAATAGCCTTACTCCCGAATCATACACAAAGAAAACCCAAGAAGAAATTAGAGCTGTTGGAGCAAATGGTTCAAACCTTAAAATCGAGAAACGATAACTATATTTTACCTTTAGCTTATAAGAATGAATCTCACCAAGATTACGATGAAATGCTGTAATTTTGTGAATTTCGTTGGGGTTCACTATCAAATAAGGTAAATAAATGTGTGAATATGGGTAAGTGTGGCAATTGTTGAGGTTTCAAGTTTTTTTTTAAAGTATATAATATTTATATAGGACAAATACTTATGGAAAATCCTTAAATTTGCTGAGGTTTGAACATGTATCCTTTTGGGAGGCTGGGCTTTACTGTAATTTAGATACATAGACCAATAACCATTTGATGAAGTTTCAAATTTATGGATATAAAAGTCTGAGATGAAAGTAAGGGCTTTTGATTGTGGATCAACGGTACCTTAGAACCAAATTATGAGATATATAATCCAGATAAGATGTTAAAAAACCCAAAATAGTTGATTTAAAAAAAATTTAGAGACTTAATCGTTCAAAATATGAAAGTCCATTGGGTTTTTTCGCACTTTTTCCATTATTTTACCACATTAACCAGTTTTATAAGTCATACGGATGTATTTAACAGGTTTTAGAAAGTTCAAGGAGTTATTTAATAAGTTTTAAAATGTCAAAGTATTTATTTGTTTCAAAAAATTGTCCAAGAACTTAATCATTCCAAATACTAAAGTCTATTAAATTTTTTTAGATTTTTTCATATGCATTAATAAATAATACTTCATACATAAAAAATAGTTTTTAAGAAATCTGTCAAATGTTTTACAATATAACTAGAAGGGTACTAACGCAATGCAGCGAGATACATCTTGATTTAATGTTTCGTTTTATATTTTAGGTCTATCAATGTTATAATGCGATTTTATGTGGTTTTGAGAAGAAAAAAATTGTTTTCCTTTTTTAATGAAATATAAATTTGAAAATATTATAAAATATTGAAAAATATAATCGATATTAGTATCAAATTAACTATCTAAAAATTCTTTTTTTATAATTTCTTTCATTCAATTTTTTATTATAGTTTAATAAAAAATATATATTTTAAGATAAAACTCAATGATTATCTTAATTATATTTTGGATTTTTTATATTTAAAATGATGTTTATCATGTATTTGATTATGTTTATCTACAGTTAATTACACGAATTCAAACATAGAGCTTTAATAAGATGCACTCATGGACATTCTACTTGTAATCTTGAATTTTAAGTAATATGCAGTACTTTATGCACAAAAGATCGTTTTTAAGAATTTTTGTCAAATACTTTATAATACAGTATATATATATATATATATATATAAATACGTTCTTGAAAATGAAGAAAGGGAAGAAACTTAATGAAAATAAAACAAAATAAATTTTCACATTCTTTAATTAGATAAAAACGAATAAAAAAAAAACATAATTTTTATATATACTCCCTTATTTATTTTACAATAATTTATAATCAATAGATAGATGTGTAATTTTACAATTAGTTTTTAAATATTATTATTTCTTTCCTCGTTTTCACTCACTCTTCTTTGTAAAAAATAAAAAAATATAGAAATACAATATAAAAGTATCTCAAACAGATTTTCTTATAATTTCTTCAAAATAGAGAATCAAAAATTAAAGCCTTCAAAAAAATACATTCAATTTCAATAGATAATTTATTTATAAATTTTAACATTAATTATTTTATTAAAATATTCTATAATTTCATAAACTTTTTAAATAAACTTTATATAAAACTAGTTGTGGTATCCGTCCAATACGGCGTGAGCCGTGAATTTTAACGATTTTGAAGTTTCAATGGTTTTATTAGAGAATATTTAACGATGATATAAGTTACACTTGATCTTTACATATTAATACAATTTGAATAAATAAGAGTTATGGTTCCAATTACAGTGTATCTAAAATCCAACATATTTAAACGACTCCACAGATGTGTTCGATTTACACCAAGAGCAAATAATCAAGAGATCGAGAGAAATACCGAAAGTTCTAGAGCAATGAAATGAGAAATGAATGAGAGAACTTTTAACAACTCATGGTGAATATCAGTTTGAATCTCACCTTGGAGGATGGGGAAAAGACGTAAAGGTACGAGAGAGTGAAAACATGAGTGAAAGATGTTAAAAACATCTTGGCAACATGAAAAGAAAATATAATAATATGCATTGATAACTTGTACTTACTGCATTATGAGTTGTTTTTAAGACTTTATGCATAAATGTATAGTACTTTGTATATTAAAAATTATTTTTAAGACTTTTAATAAATTTGGTTTATAAGTTAGTATAGATAATAATAATTTAACTTTATTGATAGAAATAAAATAAAATTCATTTACCTAGTTTACATTAAGGTTTAAAGGAATGTTCTCTTATTTTTTTTTTCTATTTTAATAAATAATATAAAAAATCAAATCAAATCAAATCAAAATATAAAATAAAATCTTAATTTCTTTTATTATACAGAAGTTGCTAAACGATCATACGCGAGGTTCTGGATTTGTTTTACTAGAAGGACCAGAGAGATGAAACGTCTCCACAAGATTCCATTCAACCACTCCAATCATCATTATCCCCAAATCTTCCATTGATTTCCTCGAAAACCCACCATTTTCTTCACTAAAATCAAATATGGATAACAGGGCCCTTGTGGCCCTACTTTCTTCCCTCATATCGGAGCTCCTCCTCCTGCTCTTCGTCATCTCCCCTCCCTCCGATGACTCCCTTTCTTTTCCCTTCATCCCCTTTCTGTCTACCTCACACACCGCCACCACCCTTTCCCTTCTCTCCACCAGACGGAAGCGATCCCGATCGCCGGAATCCGAGGAACCCACATCCTCTAAACTCGGCCGTCGAGTCGGAGGAGCCGATTCGGCCATACCAAGAAACCCCGACTCGTTCAAACTGTATTTCAAGATGACTTCTTCAACGTTCGAGTGGCTCTCGTCCCTCCTCGAGCCACTGCTGGAGTGCCGTGACCCGGTTAACTCTCCCTTGAACCTTCCCGTCGAAACCCGACTCGGTATCGGGCTGTTTCGACTCGCCACCGGCTCCGATTATCTCGAGATTTCCCAGCGGTTTGAAGTTTCGGAAGCTGAAGCGAAATTCTGCGTCAAGCAGTTCTGCCGCGTCTTGTGCACGAATTTCCGGTTCTGGGTCGGGTTCCCTACGCCGAACGAGCTCGAACCAGTTACTGACTCGTTTGAAACGTTAACTGGTTTGCCCAATTGCTGTGGAGTAATACATTGTACAAGATTCAAGATTTTAAAGAACGAATCCATGGAGGAACCCATAGCTGCTCAATTTGTGGTCGATTCATCATCAAAGATTCTCAGCATTGTTGCAGGATTTAATGGCAGAAAGGGTAATCATCTTGTTCTCAAATCATCAACTCTGTACAAAGATATCCAATCAAATAACCTGTTAAACTCCCCACCTATAGATATAAACGGCGTATCTATACCTCAATACCTAATTGGTGATTCAGGGTACCCTTTTCTTCCATGGTTAATGGTTCCCTTCGATCAGCCTGTAGTGAATTCACTTGAAGATGACTTCAATTCTGCACATAATTTGATGCTTGTTTCTGGGTTTAGAACAGTGGATAGTTTAAAGAAATGGGGTGTTTTGAGTAAGCCTATCAGGGAAGAGATCAAGACTATGGTGGGTTACATCGGTGCTTGTTCGATTCTTCATAACGCCCTGCTTATGAGGGAAGATTACTCTTCGTTATCTGGGAAATCCGATGAACATCTGCGACACACCGACAGTCAGTTTCATGGCGATTTCAGTTTTGAAGATAACTCAGTTGAAGAAAAGAGTTTCGAAATTAGAACTGCATTGGCTACAAGAGCAAAAAAATGTTAATGGGTAAAGAGATCAATTTATCGTAAATCATACAGACAACTTTATCAATACAACACTTAACGGAAAACCAACCGAACAGCCACTTACTGACCCTTGAAGAAAAGGAACTTGATTACGAAGGCATTGGCATATTTGAGATAGGTAAAGTTTTTTTTTTTTTTTGATGTGATTTGGTCGGGTTTTCTCATACATTGTTCATGGTGTTTGCTAATTTATCTACTTAGTTCGATTGAAAACGATAGTTTATCGTCTCCTTTGAATTGAAGCATAAGAATATGAGCGAATACATAGACCTCTGGCGTATAGCTCAGTTGGCAAATGGGTGGTGTGACTTTGTTCAAATACAAGACAAGTCGTGAGTTCGATCCAAACCTCTGCTAGCATCAGCCCTGAGTGAGCCAAAAAATGTCCCCTCACACCGGTGTTGTAGGGCCAGGTTCCGTGTGAAGCCTGTTAGGGTTGCCGGTAATTAACTTTTTGCCCAATATATACGAGGTTTAAAAGACTATGTGAACACGAGGAAACCATGGACTATTTAGCTGAATGAGCTCCTACAAAGCTGATTTTAGGAATATGAACTTCTAGTGTATTTTAAAGTTTATAAGAGGTAGACTGTGTTGCACCATAGGCATGTTGTTTAACTTCAAGCAGATTAGGTGGTGCTCTTTTAGGGGTTGTTTACTTATACTTATCCGGTAAGCGCATATTGTTAGGAGTCAACAATATAATTTATTTTCTAGGTAAGATTGTAGTATATCAAAATGGTAATGTGTGCAACAATATATATGGTAAGCGCTTACCCGGGTAAGAGTCATCACCCTCACTCACCGGGTAAGACTCTCTATTTATATCATTGCTCTTACAAGGTAAGATTCTCTATTTATATCATTGCTCTTACCAGGTAAGATTCTTGGGTCTTGCCATGTTCGTCCAATGAGGAAAATTGTCCGATAAGCACCTACCGGGTAAGCGTTTAGTAAACAACCCCACTTATCCATAAGAAGGAAACTTTGCTGCGCAATTGATGCTACATGGGTAATTCATTAGACAAATAAGCGACTTTGAACTCTACTTTAAACAAGTTCCAAGGTTGTTGAACTAAATTGACTTTCTTGGTGAAATCTGAAGGAATTGGAATGGTCGATTTCATTGACCAAAATTTATTCTTGTTTTTGGTTCATTTTTTTGAGTTTTGATAAGGAATTCAAATTCCATGTATGGTGGAATGTGAATTCCTATGGTTCTAGCAAGGGATTGGAATTCCTTTGTACCATCTTTTAAGAAGAAAAAAACTATTAGAGCATCTTCAACAAATTCTCTAAAATAGAGCAAATGAGGTTTTTGTTTTTTATTGTTCTAACAGATTCTTTATATTGGTTTCTAAAATAGAGAAAACTCTAAGTTTGGAGAATTTTCAGAATTTTTTTGAAGGAATGAAATATGTCAACGGGAAATGGAATCTAAAAGGAATTGAAATGGAATGTTATCAGGTTTGAACAAATGTTTAGTTTACAAAAGAATTGGAATGGATTAATGTAAAATAACAAAATCACCCTTTCTTTGAAAACACACAACCACTAATTATAGACCGAACAACCAAAATCGATTTCATTAGCAAACAACCAAACTCGATTTTTCCCACCCCATCACAACGTTTTTCTTCCCCATTGTAGCACCGTTTTTTTTCCCTACAAATCGAAAAACGAGAACCCAAAATCAAAAAAAACGAATCAATCAAAAAACAAATTGCAAAACAAAAACAAATCAAAAAAACGAGAAACGTGGTTCATCAAAAACCCCATATGGATAGAAAAATAAATTGAGACCCACAATCGTTTGAAAATTGAGAAATAAACCTGAGAGAAAAACAAACCCATGAACGGTATAATCGAGAGACGCAAACTTGTGAAAGGGTTTTTACTTGGTTGTGGCGATGATAGGCGAGTAGAAGAGAGCAAGATCGAAGAAGATGATGAGCTTTGCAGATCGAGAAATGACCTTTGCGGATTGAAGAAGAAGACAACATCGTTTGTTGTAAATTGTAAACATCGTCAGAAGCATTCCAAATCTGATGTGGTTTCAATTCAGTAGGGTATTATAGTAATTTTAAAAAGAATGCAACGAATAAATTTTAATTTCTTAGCTACCGCGATGGAATGAACAAAATCTATGGAAAAAATGAAATTTGATCAAAGAAACTGACAATTCGAATTTTTGTTGAAATCCCATGGATCAAATGCCCCTTAAAAAGAAATAAATTAATGTGGAATATGATAAATAAAAAAATAGTAAAATATTGATTTGATCCCTATGGTGGTTAGGTGGTATGTTGAATATTTATTTATTACATTACATTAAAGATAGTCAAATGGGCTCGGCCAGGCCCGTAACCGTCGGAGGACCGGAATCGAGACCGGAGAGGGACCGGAACCGGCCCGGAACTGGTATGGACCGGTTGTGGACCGCCGGTTATGAACCGGTTATGGATTTTAACGTTTTCTAGGACCGATACCGGAACCGGTTATGTAACCAGTTATAGGACTGGCCCGGCCCGGCCCGGTCAACAAAAGTCAACGTGTATATATATAACAAAACGTATTTATAAAATTAAACGTATATATATATATATATATATATATATATATATAACAAAACATATTTTTAAACGTATTTAT